ATACGCATTAAAATGATAAAGAGGTCTAATAAATTAAGGGCATTTACTTGCAACCATTACATACAGTCAGTATTATATGCTTGCTCTTTCTGGGGAAGAGGGAAATAAAAAATTAATGGCTGAGTATAATGCTCCAAGGGTGGTTCAAAGCTTGAGCCAGATTACTCTTGTAGTGACGGTATTCTCCTTTTTTTTTTTTTATTTCGTCAACGACTTTTGACGAGATTTCTTAATAAAATGTGATTGTTTTGGTTTTAGAGGGAAAAAAAAAAGGACTTACGAAATGTGTGGTTGAAAAGTTGAAGATGCAGTTAAAAAAAGGACTTCCTAGGATTTAATTTAGATAAAAAAAGGTTGAAGAAATGTGTGGTTGAAAAGTTGTAGGTCTTACGAAATATGTTGTTAAAATTATTCCGCTAATTTTGATTTAGATTACAGTCAAAATTTTAACCCCTACCGTACATGGACTATATATACGACGACATCAAATTCATAATCAGTTGCTTGCCAAAGTAATTAAGTCCATGTTTAGAATCCATTTTAGTGTGATTTTTCCTCATGTATTTTGAAATAATGATTTTTTGAAGAATGTGTGGTTAAAAGAGAAGAAAAATTTTGAGTTTACTTGTACTATTATTTTATGGAAGAATTTGTTATTGAAAATGAGTTTTGAAAAAGTGTGTTTTGAAAATAACTGAGCCCAAACAAGGGCTAAGATAAGTTGTGCGATTTTGCCGCTATATTAGATACAAGTGAGATGTCCCATCAAAACTATGTTTAAAGAATCATACTACTTATACAATCTTGATCGACAACTCATACTTGACAGCATCACATTCATCAATTTCAAAAATATTTTCAAAATCAATGGTATAAATTCAACAATAATTGTACAAATAAGTTAATTCATGCTTAAACTTGTTATATAAACTTTTTTTTTTTATCATCTGTATTCCATGTAACCATCAAAGTTGTGTTAAAATTCGCATAATCATATGCAACCGAATTTTAGGGTGATTGAGCCTATTATAACTCTCCTTTTTTATCTGTAAATAAAAACCGACGACAAAAGAAAATTTAT